GAGGGAAGCCCGAAAAGCATAATTGTAGGTTGACTTGTTAATGATAATAAGCATTACACCCACAGTCACAAACTGTTCTCAATGAATAATAATGATGTAATACGGCCTTTATTTATAATCTTGTCATTGTCACCTCGGACGCATTGGTAGAAATGTTCCTGACAAGCCTCGACTCGCAGAGCATTTAGGAAAAGCCTGCTTTTCCACCACCACTTGTCAACGTGTTAACATTCCTTCGCAGGTTGGAGTTTCAACTCAACTCAAATGACTTCCTGTTGCGTGGTGCCATATAGTGATGAATACGTCCCCTTCATTCCCTTTTCCAATCTAACGTTCAAGCATTCCTCAGCTATTACAAATGGATGCTGGTCTGTTTGGTTTTTAAAACAGACCTGGCAGTTAACCAAGTCACGTGGCCATGCTTGTCGCTAACGTCCGTACGCCCACGCAACACAGGTACCTGCACGGTGAATAGAGACAGAAGCAAAAGATATTTTATTAATAGTAATCAAATAGTGGTAACAACAATTTGTGTCTTTTACTGTGTGAGGTCGAGAAGAACATTTCTGTTTGTGGATCGACAAAAGGTGTTAAAAGGTAAGAAACCTAAATTATAGGACCCATTTGCTGGAAAAGCTCCGTAAATGACAAGATACAAAAGCACTTCAACTTGTCACCAGAAGAGTAAAAGATGTCCACTGAGGAAACTTTCCATAAGCTGAAGTAAAAAGGCTGTGACTCCGTTCTCCTCATCACGTGTACCTTGGAACAGGCGCATGGGGAAGGCGGGTTGTGCTTGAGCTGAAACAGTTATGCAATTAAATGAGTGGTTCAAGATAACTTTTAGCAGTTCAAATGTTGATCATTGATAAATCATTTCTTTAATCAAAAAATGACAGAAAATCTGCAGTTGTAGCTTATGAAATGTGTTAATACTCTCTGTTTTTCCTAATCTAATTAATTGATTATAAGATAACAGGTGGATAATTGATCATGAAAAAAAGCAGGTTTGAAATACACTCACCTAAAGGATTATTAGGAACACCTGTTCAATTTCTCATTAATACAATTATCTAATCAACCAATCACACGGCAGTTGCTTCAATGCATTTAGGGGTGTGGTCGTGGTCAAGACAATCTCCTGAACTCCAAACTGAATGTCAGAATGGGAAAGAGAGGTGATTTAAGCAATTTGGAGCGTGGCATGGTTGTTGGTGCCAGACGGGCCGGTCTGAGTTTTTCACCATCTGCTCAGTTACTGGGATTTTCACGCACAATCATTTCTAGGGTTTACAAAGAATGGAGTGAAAAGGGAAAAACATCCAGTATGCGGCAGTCCTGTGGGCGAAAATGCCTTGTTGATGCTAGAGGTCAGAGGAGAAATGGCCGACTGATTCAAGCTGATAGACGAGCAACTTTGACTGAAATAACCACTTGTTACAACCGAGGTATGCAGCAAAGCATTTGGAAAGCCACAACACGCACAACCTTGAGGCGGATGGGCTACAACAGCAGAAGACCCCACCGGGTGCCACTCATCTCCACTACAAATAGGAAAAAAAGGCGACAATTTGCAAAAGCTCAACAAAATTGGACAGTTGAAGACTGGAAAAATGTTGTCTGGTCTGATGAGTCTCGATTTCTGTTGAGACATTGAGATGGTAGAGTCAGAATTTGGCGTAAACAAAATGAGAACATGGATCCATCATGCCTTGTTTCCACTATGCAGGCTGGTGGTGGTGTAATGGTGTGGGGGATGTTTTCTTGGCACACTTTAGGCTCCTTAGTGCCAATTGGGCATTGTTTAAATCCCACGGCCTACCTGAGCATTGTTTCTGACCATGTCCATCCCTTTATGGCCAGCATGTTCCCATCCTCTGATGGCTACTTCCAAGCAGGATAATGCACCATGTCACAAAGCTCAAATCATTTCAAATTGGTTTCTTGAACATGACAATGAGTTCACTGTACTAAAATGGCCCCCACAGTCACCAGATCTCAACCCAATAGAGCATCTTTGGGATGTGGTGGAACGGGAGCTTCGTGCCCTGGATGTGCATCCCACAAATCTCCATCAACTGCAAGATGCTATCCTATCAATATGGGCCAACGTTTCTAAAGAATGCTTTCAGCACCTTGTTGAATCAATGCCTCGTAGAATTAAGGCAGTTCTGAAGGCGAAAGGGGGTCAAACACAGTATTAGTATGGTGTTCCTAATAATCCTTTAGATGAGTGTAGTTTATCAATCAGTACGTCATTTTAAAAAGAAATAATGAGCTGCTAGTCTGACAGAAAATCTGACTGCGTTTTGGACTATTTGGACCATTGGTTGAAGACATTTTGAAGACAGTGGCTGTCTCAGGCTGTCCGAGGGGCAGTGCTGCATGAGGTGGGTAACCAGCACGCACAATGTGTTCTATCACGTGGCCCGACGGCCTCACGTATTCTCTGTTGGTAGGGCCCCCCCCCAGAGGACACGTCCTTATGCTTTCTTGCACACTGGGCCACCGTAGAGGAAACACACTTTATTCCCCTTCCACTATTTAATCCGCGCATCCTTCCACAGATCAGCCTGTTGATCCATTCATTCATCCTCAGGGTCGCACAAAGCCGCCCCACAGGGACACACACACACACACAGGTGGCAGTGAACAGGTTTGTCAACTATGCCGGATGATCCGATGCCTTGAGGGAGGGACACACCTTTACTTGCAAAGACGTCTGACTCAGAAGGGACAAAAAGACCACAAGAAAATTCCTGCAACTTGGAATTACATTTTAAACAAAATTCAATTGTATCTAGAGGGATGATAAATAGTCATACTGGGTATGATAAGTATTAAAACTAGATACTTTCTGGAGCATTTGCATATTCAATTACATTAATACACAATATATGTAATTTCTTCATGATCCTGTATCAGAAAACACATGAGAGATAATTTCAAATACAAAGATACATTTTTGTAATGTATGCATTGAATCGTTGCACTGTATTATGTTGAATCCATATTTCAGATACATTTTAGACCCTACAGATTCATCCATTTCTTTATAGCAATTGTCAGTTTTAAATTAAATTATCTCTGCATCAGACTATGTTTCTATTAGCTCTGTAATAAACCGAATAGTAATCTTAATCAGTTAAATTCCATTAAAGTATAACCAAACAAAATTCAACAAAAAATAGATGTTTATTAAACAATAATTGTGATATCTGGATGTTGAAATCAGTTGATCAACCTCTGTGTTCACTGCAAAGGGAACTAAAATATGACGTCAAAGCCGTACGCAAGGTGTTAATGTATCATTTATTTGTCAGAGGAAGTGAACTCAAAGGTGTATTCACCATGAGTAGTATTCGTACTTCCGTACGGATGAAGTTATGCAGTGGGAAAAACATTTACCTTTTTCAACACATTAACACAGTAAGAAGCACCTGTTTGCGCCCCAGGACATTAAACAAGACCAGAAAGGAGTTGATCTATGCTTTATGTTTTCTCTGCATGAAAAATCAACTGAAGCTGTATTTTTTAAAGGCAAAAAAATATATTAAAGAGCTGCTGTTCTGACCGGACACATATGGCACATTAGCAGAATTGTATCTAACTACATATTGCCCTGTATGTCGCTTTTCTAGTTTAAATGGCTTTTATGTCTGGTGGAAAGCACTTTCTGTTGCACTTTCTGTTGCCTTGTACCAACTTGTCATACTCTAAAGAGGTATGTGTTTAGATGATTAAACCATGCTCCATAATACATTTATACATTTTATATCAGAATACGTGTATTGTAAAAGTATGACCAAACTGTTTAAATAAGATGTACAGCCACGAAAAAATACATATTTAATTCATGGTGAACATTGTTGACTAAAAAGAAAATCTCAATGCCGATCAAGCTCACATGTCAGAAGAGAATTTGGACGGCTTGGCTTTGATTTGAGAACGATGGGACAAAGTGACGGCACCCAGCTGTGGTCTTTCACTTCCCCTAGTGGCCAGTGAAGGAAATGTGAAGAGCAGGCGTTGTTTGGGTTTGTGTCAAAAATGAAAGAGCTCATTTCATACATCATATCCAGTACATGTTGTGTAGTAGTTAACACCTCAAACGGGACGAATCCACATGTCATATTCATTTGTAAAGTGACAGCTTTGGTTTAAGTTCAATTTGTTGAAATTTAAAAAGCAGTGACACGTGGAAAAATCCACTAGTCCTGCCAATATCGCAGGTGGAAGCAATGACTCATCAGTTAACCACATGATTGATGGCATCTTCTTTAACAATACGAAGAACGAGACAGACTTAGTTATAATGGCTAACACCCTCCATTGATTCAGCAGCTCCTGCAATAACAGTGTTGCTAACGTACCTTATTGTTACTGTACCGCATCCCTTCAAGCTGCAATGACACAAAGAGAAGAACTCAGTGTTTGTCAAGATTATAATGTGACGCAGTCTTTCTTGAGTCATGAGTCATGATGTTCCATTCGTTTGGGTTAGGATTGTTTCAGAGCTAAATGCTTAAGAAATAAGTTTAAAAGTGTCACCAAATTCAGGAACCTGTAGTCCGACAGTAATGGTTTTGTTTAAAAGTTACAATAATAAGTACGTTTGAATATTTCCTATGTGTCTAGCCAATAACAAAAGGGACACTGCTTTGAGAACACGTGCTTTCATTTTAATTAATTAAATGGATCGCTTTGAACAACATCTGCTTAATAGCAGTAGCTATTAAGTACCTAGTGGCCGTGAGTGGTACTGCACACTCCAGTAAACAAAAAGAAACGCATTCAAACCCGAGCGCTGTGATAAGAGGTCATATTATTCTTTTTGTCCAATCAAAATAGCAGTAGTGCGTAATAAGTGACGTCACGTGAACGATCACGCTGGTCAATAAAGACGCGTCGCTCTCCGCCGGCACGTGACTCGAGGCGTAACGCGCGTGCGTCAGAGCGTAGCCCGGCACAGGTGGAATCAAAATCCGGAAGTGAGCGATGCATCCTCGTCTCAAAGATGGTGGCCTCTCCATCGTAGCGCCACATAAACAGTAAACAAAAAGGCAAATATGATCGATGGCGACGTGGCCAGGTGAAATGTCGGGTTTTTGAATTCGTGTCCGGTGGCGGTAACTGACGTGACGGCGGAGATGATGTTTCTCTACGGAGCCTACGGAGGCTCCTACACGGTAGGAAACACAAACTGCCTCTTCTTTTCCTGCGTCGGCAGCTGTTGGAACGCTTGTGTAGAGGAGCTACGCGTGTCCATCTGTGTCTTTTGACGTTTACGACGTCTACATTGTCGCAAAACTTTTCTTCAAAGTTCTTTATTTCTTGTAGTTGGAAGCCGATGGAACGGAAGTTACATCAATGATGCACTCGTTTAAACTACGCACAGTTATAAATGAAGACAATGATTTGTGAACGTAATGTATAATCCCTCCTGCCTTTCTTCTGTAGGATAATCTCATCGGAACATTGCTTTCTATTTTTGGAAATGTGCTGGTCAGCATCTCCCTAAGTATTCAGGTACGGACCTTGTCTGCTACGTCATCAAGCGCCCTGGTGTTAACACATTATTTACGTCATCGCATCCACAGTGGACTCATTACATCCACAGTTCAGCATCTCATTTATGTCCTCATGTCCTGCCATCAAGAGCTCGGCTGTTGCACATTAGTATCAACCTTCAATAGGAACATTAAATAATATAAAGTTATAACTCATTGTTTTTGTCCCGTTTGTCCCAGTCATTTATCTTACATTACATTACATGTAATTTAGCTGACGCTTTTATCCAAAGCGACTTACAATAAGTGCATTCAACCATAGGGTACAAACTCAGAAGAACAAGAAACAAGAAAGTGCAATTTCCTCAAATGAGCCAATTTACAATTTTCTATAGATGAGTGACGTTACAAGTACAATTTAAGTGCTACAATTTATCTCTACTACAAACTAGTTTTGCCTCCTTTTTGCTTTACGTGTATGCTTCGTTTAAACAAAGTAGAACGTCAATCACCTGCACGCCTTTCACATGCAGAAATACAGCCACGTGAAGTCTGCAGGAGCCAAGGACGTGCGTGTCTTCTACCACACCAAAACCTGGTGGAGTGGTTTTGTACTGATATGTCTCGGGGAGGGAGCCAACTTTGTTTCCTATGCCTTCGCCCCCCTCGCTCTCATCACAACTCTAAACGCTGTGTCTGTCCTGAGTGAGTATTTTGTTCTTGTAAAACTTTCATGGGGATTATAAAAACATCTCCCTAAAACAGCCGGCGAACTGAAGTCTCTGAAATGTATACATAACGCTAGTTCAAAGGGGGAATTTGTATTAAATCCTTGCTTTACTTTTGTGTTTTTTCAGCAAGCTCAATTTTGGGTCTTATTTTCCTGCGCGAGAAATTGAGGCCAAAGGCCTTTGCAAGTAAGTTCAGCGTGTGTGTGTAACATGAGACTCTCTCAATTATCATGGAATTGGTGCTGTTGTATGCAAATATTAATCAAACTTCTACTGAACTTAACAAACGCTGTACTGTGCGTGTGTTACTCCAGAGCGCTATGGGCTGTCGTTCCTGGGCTCCATTCTGATCAGCGGGGGAACATTCCTCTTTGTAGTTTTTGGACCAAACTCTCATGAAAAACTCAAAGCAGAGAACATAGTGACACACCTTGTAGGCTGGCCTGTTCTCTTGTATATGGTAAGATGCTTACACCTGTTTGTATTAGCAAGTTGATCTCGTTTGTGTTTGCCACACATGTTTATTCACCATCCATGACTGCAGCTTGTAATTTACACACCAGGAATGCACCAGCACAAGAGGCGTGGAAATACCAAACACTAATTCTATTGCATTTAAAGCCATTTTACACCGTTATGAACAGGATAGATGGTTCCTCCCTGAACTGCTGATTGACCAGTTACAAACGTTGCCTGACGAAAGACTAAGCAGAGAGGAACGGTGACCGAGAGACACTTTGACATTGTCTTTCAGTCCCAACTATAACTATAGTTTGGCCTTCACCATTAGTTACAGACGGATATCGGCCCGTGTCGTTATTCTGCACAGATCTTGGACAACTGCTGTGCCTCCTTCTTTGTTTATTTGATATTGATTTGGTGATTTTTATTACTTTCGTCCTTATTGACAGCTCCTGGAAATCGTCACGTTCTGCCTGCTTCTGTACTTCTACAAACAGCGCAATGCGAACTACCTCGTTGTTATTCTGATGCTTGTGGCGCTGCTGAGTAAGTGTTTGGCATTAAAGACCCGTCGATCTCATACGATCAACACGCTATTACCATACATTATTACACAAGAGCACTTTTTTAATGTTCAATATGCATTTAAGTTACTCTCGTCTGTTGCGTAACGAACGGTGTCTTTTTTTGTTCTGTGGCGCGCAGACTCGGTCACAGTCATCACAGTGAAGGCGGTGTCGGGCATGTTGGTTCTCAGCATCGAGGGCAGCATGCAGCTCGACTACCCGATCTTCAGCGTCATGTTTGTGTGCATGGTGGCTTCAGTGGTCTTCCAGGCCAGGTGAGTGACAGGAACATGAAGGACAGAGTATTTACTGTAAATTGTGCTGACCTTCTGCTGACAGTTGGCTGTGGTGGTCAATAGTGTGCGTGTTAACGGAATACTTCACCCACAGAGATGACCTTTTTTTTTCTTCTATTAATTACTCAAACTGTGTAAGCTTGAATTCTGCACGAGGACTTTGTCTTGGAACGGAGAATAAGAAATAGAAAGGTCATTTGAAGCAATCAAACGGCAAAAACTAATAATATGAACTAATAATTCAAGTCTCATTCACCCAGTCATAATCCCAACCCTACTTCCCCGTTTTCTGCTTCTCTGCTCAGAGTGGAGGGATGCGGGGGAAAGAATTCCAAATAACATCTGATTAATTGATATCAGAGAATTTATATATGATTGCTAATTTTTTTTGCGGCGATGTATTTCTTGTAAAGAAAAACATTGGCTAGGTATTTTTGCTAGTTTTGATTCTTTACCGGTGAACAAAGTCAGTGTTTCAATATATTTTTTGTTTTTTTACTATGTATTTTTATTTGCTGTTTTAACATTTTTCTGTGCGTAACGTCCTTTTTTCAGATTTCTCTCCCAAGCCTGTAATCTCTATGACTCCTCTCTGATAGCCGGTGTCAACTACATCCTCTCCACTGTCAGTGCTGTGGTTGCTGGTGAGTTATGAAATATTTCCCTGCCGATTTCTTTTTAATTTTAATAAGTCTGAACTATTTGCTGATGAATGCACTTCCTGGCACACTAGCGAGCAGTTTCCCCCTGGAGCTTTATATGCAGAGACCTAAACCTCTGCTACGCTCCTGCTGCACACCTCATTTTTCTGTTGTGGATTTCAGGCGCTGTGTTTTACGTAGAATTCAAGAATGAAGACGTCCTTCACGTCTGCATGTTTTTGTTGGGGTGAGTGATGTTTCATTATATGCATATACTGCAAGAAAGTTTGACATGTCGCAGCAGGAACACCTGAGCTTTTCACAACAAAGTAAAAATGTCCGTTGGGAAAAAGAGCTGTGGCATTATTTTTCAATGCCAAATTCCGACAATAATACCACATTTTGATGTGAATGTGTTGACTTACTGTTCATTAAAATATTGGAAAATGTTTTGTGTTTCGTACAGATCTGCTTTCTGTTTCCTTGGGGTCTTTCTCATCAGCAAAAACAGGAAGCGGACCAAGACCTTTGAGCCGTATGTCACTATGGATATGGTTAATGGTTTGTACAAACTTTACGTGACATTACATTTATTACACATTTTATGTAAAACTAATCAAGTTTTCAACATGCAGTTCCTTGCTTGAATCCTCCCTATTCTTTCCATCATCAGGTGTCCCGACCATTCATGACAGGGGCCTCTTTGTTCAGCCAGACTCCAACGGTACTTTCTCCTACGGGGCCCTGGTCAACAACGACGGGGCGGCTCCTGTGACTCTACCAGTTGACCCGGAGCAGCCGCCAGTCGCCTCAATGCGCATCGATCCACCTTCTGGCCGCCGTGACCTGAAAGAAGATTGAAGTTTTTAAATCTAAATTGTTAGATTTGTTTCATCCTTCCATCTGTAAACAATATTGAAGGACTTTTTAGAAGATCAAGATGGGTTAATTTCTTTTCACAATTACACAACCTCCAGCTCAAAAGGGGAGTCCACTGGGCGTGCACCCCTCTCCCATCGGATTTCCCTTTTTAATCTCCAAACCAAAACGTGACCACGAGAAGCATTCCGTTATTTGACAAGATGTCACCTGTATTTATTCCAAAACTGAACTGCTGGATGTTGTAGTGGATTCACGATGATTTGTCAGCAGAGATGATGTTGTGCCTTAGAGCTTCCTCTACTTCTCGCTTCCGTGACTCTTAAGCAATTTATTGCTCATTATTAGGCACATTAAAGGTTCTTCCATTTGAGGATTGTGAGGATTCTCCTCAAACCTTCTCACAGATATAGAACGTTGCTCTAGACTTGCCAATGAACATGGTGACTTTAAATACCTGCCTCTAACTTTGTCTTCTGTGAGCGGGATTCCCTCCACAATGATGTTACTAGTTTTCCTGATGTGACCGAATGTGGATGCAAATCTTTAATTTATTGAAATGTATTTATTCATTTTCAAGTTAGCTTTTAGTGTGCCTTAAAAAGTAGCTTTGCACTGGACAAATTACTGTAAGGTGGTACATAAATAAGCCAGAAGTGAAGAATCACTGTAGCAACTTTAATATCGCAGCACCTTTTGGAATAACGACCTAAACTGTTTTGAAAAGTAAGGTGATAGTAGCACTTTGAATGACTCCAACAAAAGAAGTGAATAGCGCATGCATCATGAAACAACTGTTGGTTTTAAATATGTGCTGATGAGTTAAAAAAAAACTATTATATCTAATCTATTGCAGAAGATGTGCTAAATTTCCCCTTTTTAACCTGATGCCTTTGACGTTTCTGAAGAAATGCATCCACGGTTTGATGTTTTAAGTACAGGTTTAATGATTCAATTTGATTGTAAATTAAGATGGATGAATGCATTGGATTCACTCTCCAGGTACATATGTATCAGTACATTCTTACAGTATTATTAAAGCACAGTTCCTTTCCTCGGTATTCAGTAACTTCATTTGTACCTGTGGTTTGTTGTGTTTTGTGTATGTGTGTGTGTGTGTTTATAGCCTCATTACTGTGTAAACCTGTGTAAACTGAAGCCTCTTGTTAATACAACTGCCAAGTAACAAACCTCAACTGATGTGAGAGTCAAAACTCTTTTGCCATTAAAAATGAACTTAAATTATTTCGGTTGTATTAGTTTGGTCAGAATCTGCAGGAAATGCAGTTTCAAAATCATTGGTTGTTGAAAAAAAACAAGTTGCTAACAAGCAAGTGTTTTGCCACCAACCTTGAAACGCAGGGCCCTCCCCTTCCTGCAGCCTGATTGGTTCGCGAATGCCTGTGCCGGCATTTCATTGGTCAGAGCCGCGGGCACTTACGCACGAGGAGGCCGTGTGACCTAGGAAGTGTCCAATAAACCGGTAATAACAAACACCGACGCGTCTGGCGTTTGTCTCGATCAACACCGGTGTCGCTTCTATCCGTTTGACACAGTCACGTGACGACCTTTTTGTTTGGTCCGCTTTTTTCCCTGACAACAGTTGGGTGAGTAGCCAGCAACCACGACTCCGTGCTAGCCCGGGCTAGCCCGTGCTCTAATATGTGAGCTTTAAAACCCCCTGGACGGTGACGCTGTTGACGTCACGCTCTTGTCCCGCTAGATGGCACTCAACCGACAGCACCGTGTCTGTGTCACATTGTCTTCATCATCATAACCACTGTCATGGCGAATAATATTATTTGTTTCAGCGAATATGAAAAAGTCACCGCATGCAGCCTTTTAAATGTGAATGAAAGGCTTTTTTTTGGCTTTTTGTGGTGAATTTTAGACGTCTACATTAAACGTCCCGCAATTTCCTTCTGTCTTTCTCTTCTATCCCTTTTTTCGCTTGACTCATCGTTCTTCAGCTTCTATTCCAGAACTGAAGTGCGCTATCGTCCCACGCTTAAGGCAAACCACCGTAATCTTCACCATCACCATTGTCCCACCACCTCATTCTCGGTGCGGGACATCCAGCCACTATATTCACCCACTGTCTCCCACCTTCCCCCAGCCTCGATGGTCCCCACCCGCCTCTCAGCTGACTTCCTAAATAAAAAAGCCTAAGCATGCTGCCACGGAGCTCCTTGGCGTGCAGCAACTGAGGAGGAGGAGGAAGAGGACATGGAGTTTGGGAAGAGCCATCAGGACGCCACGGCGAAGGATTTGATGGATCTGAGCAACCTGCCCATGGCGCTCTTCGCATGAGGCGTCCACAAAGCAGCTTAAACAAGTGTTTAAGGAGGACGTACACAGGGTGATATGGAGCAAACTCACCTTCTTGGTTAAAAATTGGCGCCGTGCGTGTGTATGCGGCACTAACCCACATACACACGCATGTACACACGTAGGTGGGTTAGTGCGTCAGTCTGTGTGCGTTTGAGTCATGTTGCTGAATGTGTCAGCTTGTTCAAGATTGAAAGACTAGCAACACGCGCATGATGTCATCCACAGCTTTTTGCCCCTGTCACAAACTCAAGCTGCGCTGCTGATCGCTCAACCCCAAATACACACACTCACTCACATACACACACACAGATACACACACCTGATGCTGTTATTTATCTGCCAATAAACATGAATGCAAGGCAGCGGATTACAATATGAATCACGAGCGATCCCCTGTTTTAATCTCTGTGCATATCAATCCATCGTGCAGTGTGTTATTCCCGCCCACTTACAGTTGTAGGTGTGGCGACATGCCTCTTACACGTGTACCCAGGCACTTACATGCCGTATATCTTCTGTTATGGCCTCTCTGGGATGTGTACTTTCCTGCCATCTCAGTTTTATCGGACTCCTCGAATCCTGTTTTTCTGAAGGAGTAAAATACTTTTAATTTTCTGCCCCCTTAATCCAATTATGCTGTCCCACGATCACTCAATCCGTTCATCTGGCATGCCTCGCTCTCTTTAAGTCTCCCCTCATTCATTCTCTGTCAAGTCTTATCCATCCAGCTCACCTCTGGAAGCTTTCTGTTCCACAACATTTTCCTCTCCCCTTCCGGACTTTCTTCTCCTTCCTCAATTCTTTTAATATCTCCCTCCCGTCTCTCTCCTGAACGTTCTTTATTTAACCTCTCTATGTCTCCGAGCGGAGGGGCTAAATCTGGCGCATACACAAAATCCCTTTAAACGAATCAGTCCTTGCTTTGTGCTCTCGTTATTTGTACACCCGTTGCTCCTAGCGACGGAGTCTGCCGCCTCTCCTCCCTTTTGGCGTGCCCCTCCCCCCCCCCCTCGCTTCATTACAATTCCAACACCGCGCTTTTAAGTGGCTACGCCGCCCACGCGCCCTTCAGTCAGAGCATGTCAATAGATTGTTCTTCTCTATGGTTCAATTAAATGAGCCACGCTAAAAATAGAACTTCTGACGTTTGCTTAAAGTTTGAAAATGAGCACAGGGAGAGATGAGGCATGAAAACTTGACCTCTTTAACCCCGCTGTCTGCATCCTCAGTACACGTTAACCTATATGTTTGTGTCTTCGGGCTCTTGGCTCCCTCCCGCCGACATTACCTTCTGTTTCTGTTCTCAAAGTCCTGCGTGCAGGAGGCCGGGCGGCTTCTGCAATCAGACTGTGCTCTATTAGGGATGGAAGGTGGGGACGTATTTACAAGAAGCTTTTAGCAGGCTGTTGAAAGCCTTTCCTTTCTTCTGCGTTAGTGAAAAGACAGTAGAACCTAGTGGCACACTTTCTCTTTTATGTGTGTGTTATCATCCGCGACCAGCTTTAAAGTAGAATGTAAAGATAGTTAAGGTGAAATCAGCCCACCTCTCCACTGAAATGACTGGGTTTATTTTACATTTACTCACTTAGCAATACCAAAAATAACTGTAATGATGTGCAACCACTTTTAATGATTCCAATGCGCTTTCACGGAGCTTTAACCATCGGCCTCTCAATTGAGAGGTCAAACAGGAAGACTATCATTTTGAATTCACCCTGTAACATTATAACAGACGGATGCAACATGTAAATAAAGTTGGCAGGACAAATTTTTAATATTATGCCAAAACTCTCTCTCTCAAAACCCCTCAGGGACCGATGGAAATAAGCAATGACAATGATTATCTATTGTATTTAAATAATTCCTAGAACGACGTCATTCACTAACCAAACCGAAAAAGGAAAACTTCCCCCACCCACTCGTACCTCCCGTTCGCTTCTTACGACGGCTTTCTCATTGAGGCCCGACAGACGATCGGCTGCGCTCCGCGGATGAAAACAATTAGCAGCATCGCCGAGACTGAGCCGGACTTCTAGTTCCGACAAGACCCACGGTCTGTAGCGCCCACGGAAAACAAGTGTGTGTGTGTGTGTGTGTGTGTGTGTGTGTGTGTGTGTGTGTGTGTGTGTGTGCGCGCGGAGCGAGGGCCGGTGGAGACAGAGGTGTGCACGGGCAAAGTAACGAGGCCGGGTGGGTTCCGTGCTCGTCGAGGGAAAGGTCACAGCAGCATTGTAAGTCGTCCCTCATGGCACCCGGTGTCTTTCACCGCTGCTGCACAATCCATTGCTCGGCCTATTAGAATAACATGGATTATTGGTTTTATGTATGCAAGGTGACCAGGAACATGATTTCTTTCACCTGTGAAAGTAAAGGGACAATTATACCAATTTAAATGAATTTTAGTTGACGTACTAACAACATCGAAGCGGGCAATTCAACAATAGGTCTGAATGCTGGGTGAGAATTGTCAATACTTTTGCCAATACCAAAAATAATACTTTATACTGTTTGATACCCTACTCGGCTGATATTCCATGCATCCTTTACTGTACTCTCCTTGTAATTGCATGCATGTGGAGATTAACTGCTAACAAAGCTATCCTTTATAATAGCTGAGTGAGGCTAATGTGCTCCTAATAGCAGAGTAACAGTTAATATACTGTTGTAATAACCGATGAGTCACTGTGTTGTGCATCTTTCACTAATGACACTTTGTTTCTTCTTGACGCGACACTGAGAATCCAGGTTTATTTTTGATTACCATAGGGATCAAAGCTCTTCGTTTAAATGTTATATTTTCCAGGGTCATAATCACCGTGATTGAGTTTCAAATCCATATCCTATTGGGGCGGCGCAGAGTTGAGCCGTGACACACATCGGGGACTAAAGATAGCCTGCCGGAGGATGTGGAGAGCGAGAAGCGAAGGGAGCGCCGGTATTTGTGTTCTCGTGCGCGCGCATCACTGACCGTCCAGCAGTGGTTGGGATACGTTTGCATGCAGTTCAGACTGTACGGCCTATTTTTGGTGCCCCCCCCCCCCCCCCTCCCCCTTTAGGGCGGGTGAACGTGAGGCAGCGGGTGCTTCGGGAGGCTGAAGGTCAGACATGATGCGGCGCGGAGCGACTGGGGGCCCTGCAAGTTATTCTGGTAGCGCTGACCGAGGATGTCTCACCGACCCGGCTCGCTCGTTTCGCCTTTTACTCACCCGACGGGAGGAGAAAAGAAAGAAAAAAATGAAATGAAAAACAATTTAAGTGAAGCAGACAACACTGGAAAGCGGTTTGGTGGGATTGAGCTGTTGTGGCGCTCAGGGCGGCAAAGTGTTTTGCACATTTGACAAGATGACAGTGTTTTATTCTGCGATGGCAGTTTTCCTTTTTTTTTTTTACACACGCTCCGATCTCAGGCTGTTTTCCAGTGAAACGTGAGCCCGGAACAAGACCTTTGTGCCCGTAAGAGGTCAAACAGGGAGGGGGTGAGCCTGTAAGACCCTCCACATCCATGTTGGATCGGTTTGTACAGCGTGGGCCGGAGTAACATCATTTCCATTGTTTTATTCATGAGGAACAAATTACAGCTTAAGTATCGTGTGTGTTGTGGGGGACCAGAGTGAATCAGAGTAAATAGGTTGTGGTTTCCGGTAAATGCAGGTGTAACGAATATCATTAATTACAGTCCTGCTGCATTTGGGTGGTCTGTCTGTCTGCTATTGTGCATTCTATTTCACTGGTTGTGAC